TGCAGTCAGAATCGAGCTGGGGCTCACGTTGCTTGCCTTCAGGGGCTTCAAAGATTGAGGTTTGGTCATGTCTAGGCTCTGCGAGCCATTCTTTCGGAAATCCTTGCCCCCAAGCTGACTGCCTCAAACCAATACCGAAGCCAGCACTAGAAGGCTTTCTCTACGATCTTGAACAGGCGCCACCATCAAGACAATTCCACGCTTATGCGACGGTCGGCTCTAGCCCAAGCAATGTTACAGGTGTTTTGTATAATCTCAGTTTAGTGTTTGGGCTCCATCGGTGCAGGGATTATGGACCGGGTCCTGGCTTTGACGTACACGCCCCAAATCATCCTGCCTTCAATTCTTAACCCTGGATTTCAGACTTGGCCAGAAATAGTGAAGGCCGTCACGTTGGCGGATCAAGGTTGCGGCAAGGTAATTGTGGAAGTTAGGGATCTGATAGGTGCGGCGTTCACAGCTGGCAGTGCCGGCGGCTAGAATTTGATGTTGACATCTTCCGGTGTTCTCTCAGCCCGATCTCAGTATCCAGCCCGACGTGCCGACTGTGCTGCAGTTCGATGCAAACGGTAAGGCCCATTGGCTAACAAAGTTGCAGACACCTTCGATCTGGGAGGAGGCGACGGCTCCGGACTGCAGCAGGTAATTGGCTGGGTGGTTTGTCAGCAGGGAAAATTTCTGAAGATGCCTCGTCAAGCTTGTAACTGTACAACCTTCTACAGCTGCCCCACAACTTGGCATCTCGCACCCACCGTGCTGCCACGGCTCTGCTGCTATTGCTGCTTCACCGGGCAGCAGCTGCAGCAGCTGCTGCTGCTACCCCCGCTCTCCTCCCACTGACACTGCTGGTACTAGTGCTAAGTAGTAGTCGTCGTAGTCGTCGTAGTCGTCGTAGTCGTAGTCGTAGTCGTAGCTGCTGCTGCTGCTGCTGAGGGGGAGACTTACTTAGCGGACGAACAAGGCAAAGGTAGTGTAGGGGTAGCTGGCTGCGCAGCCGAGGACCAGGGTTGAGGGGGTGCGGGTGCTCGTGGCTGTCGTGGTGTTTTGGTGCCTGCTGGGCTGATAAGCTCTTGCTTTGAAGGGCTCTTGCCCTGAGGACTCTTCCAAAATCCAAGAAGCACTTGGATCTGTCAAATTTCTGGGGTTTGGGACCACGAAAATGCATGCGAGGTGTTTGCTCTGGTGCCCCTGCTGAGGCAGATCCCGAACATACATCCGGAACCTTCAGCCCCTCATCCTTAAGCCCAGCATTCTACAGCTCGCATGCAGGTTTGCACCTAGAGACCCCGCGCAACTGCCTGAGCAACGTTCTCCAGGTGCACTTCCACTCTGGCGATGCGGATCGGATGAACCAGCAAGGCTTTAGTCCGGGCCTGGGTTCATCCCCATAACCGAAGTCTCAACCGCGACGTCCCGTCCCAGAGTCGTCCCTGGGCACCACCAAAATCACCGAAGCCTTTTTCGGACCCTTGGGGTGTCGTAGACATATGATAGCGTCCATGACTGCTCGTTCAACCCAGTCATGCTATCGGGTTCGTGTGGGGTCGAGTGCTAGGCATGTTTGTGTTGCGCTTGCTGCCTCCCACTGCCATCCGGGAACCACCTCGCCAAGGTCAGGAACCAGACAAGGCGGCGGTGAAGAAGGCCAGCCACAGATCCAATGCATTCGACTTGTTGGTTCGCATGTCTTCTTTTCCCATTAATTTAGTTGAGGCTTCTGCTGATTTGCGGCCGCTGTTCTCGCTGTTCGGTTTTTGCATGTATACATGACTAGATTTGCATTATGTGCGCGTGCATTGTCGTCTGGGCCGTCTGTGTGAGTGTTCCACGCACGCAGACAATGACAAGATAATTCTGAGGGCGCAGGCGGTGCTTGTTGCCAGGTTCTTGCCCCAGCTGGCATCCAAACTACAATGACCCAGACCAAGCTATCAACAACAAAAGCGCTGCAAAGCTGAATTCTAATCTTAGTGTCGTTGTTTGTGCCCCATGCTATCCGGAATTTGTGCAGGGATTGAAGCCTGAAGCAGGCTGTTAGGTTCATATACGGTCTAGGGCTCAGGGTTTCCAGCCCCGGGCGGACTTCCGTCTGCAGGACCTCCATCGTGAGATTGTTTGATTTGATGAAGCCCGAAGTGTCCAGCGACCCAAACCCTCGTGCGACAAGTGCTCGCATCGCAAGATCGACTGTGTGATTGAAGCCCGAAGCGTGTCGTCCGCGTTTGTTCAATGGTCGCTGTGCATTTCCCAGAGGTTATCGACGGCAGTGCTCAGTGTAGAGGCCCCTAAACCTCAGTGTTTGTTCCTCAGCTCGCAGCCTCCTTAACCCTCATTTCCAATGCGGCCAGATACCGGGAATCACGGGCCGGAAAGGCGGTCTGAAGATGAGCCGGCAGCCGATCTTTTCGCTTGAGATGGGGATTACTGTATTTGGGAGTTTCAAAAAATTAGGGGTACCTTATTTGGGGTCTTTATAAGAAGGATCCTAGTATTTAGGGTACTGTATTAGGGCCCCCTATTTTCGGAAACTCCCATTTATGGTTACCTATCTCAGCAGGTGTCCACAGTATAGCACAGTGTCCCAAACAGACTACCATTCCAAACAGACCGAGTGGACCGAGTGGCACTCCGTGGTGCTCCTTTGTGAAGAAATGGCTCCGGCAAGACATTGCAAACAGAATGAGCCGATAGAGCTGGCGACAACCGACACTTCAATCGAGTGTACACTTCCGAGAACAAACCCTGATGTTTGCGTTAGGGTAGTTTCAAGACGTTACAAGCAGGTACTTGAAGTTTGCGGTTTCCATTGCATTTGCGTGTAGGGCTGAGCACTTTGTTAATTTTCCAAGCCTTGGCAAAGCCACGAATCCCGGAACTCTGCGGTCCCATAGCCCTCGTGAACAATAATACACCCGCTTGTCCGAGGTACGAAGAACAAGGCACGAGCTTCGTTTGCAGCGCATTGCAGCGCTTATAGTTTTGTCTGTCCTGCGGGGTGTGAGGATCGAAAATTCCCATCTTGTTGCAGCTGCAGGGTTCTTGGCACAATTATGCTTCTGTGCTTTGCAGAGTATTCCCGCACACCAGACTTCCATCTCGGATGTTTTCACTCTCATCTTGTGGTATCCGTACTGTGATGCAGCAACTCGTAGTTAAAGACACATCACCGGTCGCCGACGTGGAGGTGGCAAAATCATATTCAGCTCATTCGGCTTGACGTTATGCTCGTGAGGAGGGCCCAACTGGGGGCGCTGCTACTGCAACCTGTTCAGCGACAACCGTTGGGGTTCCTGCTACTGCTACCTGCTTCTGGCAACCGCGACGACGACTGCCAGCACGACTACGACGACAGCAACAACTACTGCGTTGCTACAACAAGTACAATAACTACTACAACTACTACAACAACTACTACACCAACTACAACAACAACTACTACTACTACTACTACTACGTACTACATACTACATACGACATACGACATACTACTAACTACTAACTATTACTAACTATTACTAACTACTACTACTACTACTACTACTACTACTACTACTACTACTACTACTACTACTACTACTACTACTACTACTACTGCTACTACTACTACTACTACTACTACTACTGCTACTGCTACTGCTACTACTACTACTACCACTACTACTACCACGACCACGACCACGACCACGACCACTACCACTACCACTACTACTACTACTACTACTACTACTACTACTACTACTACTACTACTACTACTACTACTACTACTACTACTACTACTACTATACTACACTACTACTACTACTACTACTACTACTACTACTACTACTACTACTACTACTACTACTACTACTACTACTGCTACTGCTACTGCTACTGCTACTGCTACTGCTACTGCTACTGCTACTACTACTGCTACTACTACTACTACTACTACTACTACTACTACTACTACTATTACCACTATCATTACTACTACTGCTTCTACTACTACTACTACTACTAGTAGTAGTAGTAGTAGTAGTACTACTACTACTACCATTGCTACCACTACCACTACTACTACTACGACTACTACTACTACTACTACTACTACTACTACTACTACCACTACTACCACTACTAGCACTACCACTACTTCTACTACTACTGCTACTACTACTACTTCTACTACTACTACTACTACTACTACTACTACTACTACTACTACTACTTCTACTACTACTACTACTGCTAACTACTTCTACTCACATTAATACTAAGAGTTCTGGCGCTACCAGCGCTACCTGACACTACTAATTAGCTACGACCACATGCATGCTTACGAAGCTGAGGACGTGCACTGACGACTTGCTGCGTGCGTTCAAGCCGATCTTACTGTTATCGCTGCTACCAGGGTTGTTTCTCGGTTTGTTGAGTGGCGCACCCTTCCCAGAGCCTATCACCCTAAGCCGGGCGTTCGCAGGATGGGTCTGGAACTCAGTGCAGCTGGGTGTTGCTGCAGCTGTGTGTGTGTGTGTCCCCTCCTACACTAAAGCCCTCCCCCCTCCTCCGTCTTGTCAAGGCTCGAAGAGGCTCCAGCCTGCTGTGTGCTGGTCTGTCTTGCATTGTCTAACGGGCTTTCAGGGCTTTCGTGTTTGAAGCTTGGGATGTAATTGTTTGGTCTATGAGATATGTCGTATGTGTCAGACAAGCTGCAATGTATGGGTTCGTGTTGCCGGGCATCGGAGTGTTCTAGTGCTGCACATACGTGAGCATGAAGAGCTATGCTGAGCTGAGCGCAACCAGCAGAGTCTAGGGAGTCTGGGGGCTTTTTGGGCTCGAAAATGTTTGCGGGCGAAAACAACAAGGCAGCAGGGCACCTGTGGCTCAGTTTGCTTACGCACCTCCAAGCTGAAGGTTACGGATTTAAAGGCGCCTTTAGCCATTGATTCCCAGTTCCTGAATCTCAGAAATGATTGAACAAGTTGGCTCAGGGCCACCTCAGATTCTTCCGAAAGCCATGTCTGAGGACTTTCCCCCGCCCGGGTACCAGCAATGGGGCCGCACTGGGGTTGACCCCTTTGAGGAGCACATCGGGCCTTTCTACCATAGTCCGGATCAGCGGACGATGATCATGCTCGTCACCCCGAAGATGTGCAATGCTTTGGGGATTCTTCATGGTGGCGCGCTGATGTCCTTCTGTGATGCAGCGCTTTTCGTCATCGCCCGCGAGCATACCTACGAGACAACTGGGCGGGTACACGGATGACCAAACAAAGGTTTTGTATTCTATTCTTGCATAGCAGACAATGTCGTGGGCTAGGCAGCAAATACAATGAAACACATCATCCAGACAAAAGTTGACGTACGATATGATACCAAGCAAGTCGTGTCTTAATGCTCGAGGTCTTCGTGACCCTCAGCTTCAGCATCGACTTCCTTAGCCGCTGCAGAGCAGGTGCCCAAGTTCTGGCAGGCGGAGAGGTGGTCAAAGTCTCCTCCGAAAAGGATCCGATGGGGCCAGCTTCATGATATTATGAGCGTCTCACTGTTTAAGGCCGATGTTCTGGAGCGTAACGTTCGGACGGCAGAGTAGATGCTTTGCCTACCTATTGTCATGTATTTCAACCATGCGCATGTGTGCAGGTCTCGCAATGTCATGTATGTATGTATGTATGTATGTATGTATGTATGTACATATGTATGTATGTATGTATGTGTGCATGTGTGTATGTACGCATGAATGTATGCATGCGTGTGATACAAGTGATAGTACACATGTGTGCATGTATGTGTATGTGGTTGTGTTCGCGTGCTTGCATGTATGTATGTATCTATGCATGCACGTATGTATGTCTCTGTGTGTCTTCTCACATGCACACATACGCTACATACGTTGCATGCATGCATGCATGCATACTTACATACATACATACACACATACACACAAACATGCACACACACGTACCTACATACATACATACATACGTACATACATACGTACGCACGTGCATAAATTATACATACATACATACATACATATACATACACACATACATACATATAGGTTGAATTTGTTCATGTAAATAATCACGTTCAAGCATGCTCATGCTCGTACAGATTGCGCGCTGTTCTGCGCACGGACAACGTCTGTAGGAGCATCTATGCCCGCATGCGCATGCTTAGAGTGCTGTGGTTTACATGGGCGTGCCCGTGCGTTGTGTAGTGGAAGTACCCGCACCGAATAACGATACTTTTAAGCAAAGCTGGAACCGCTGAATTCCAAGGTTAACCGGCCACAGCGATCAAAATGATTGTCTACGACTCTTTGGGGCAGTGTCCGTCCTGTATGTATATGTATGTATGTATGTATGTGCATATAACATACATATATGTGCACATATGTATATATATATATATATATATATATATATATGTTCACATAATGTACATATATGTAGGTTGTATGTGCATGTATGTGTATATAAATACCCGGACATAGGTCGACAGGTAAAATGTGTAAGTACGAATACGCTGTCGGTAATAGTTTCAACTACTATACACCTACAAGCATCTGACACTGTCTGTGTGCGTGGGGAGAGCGTGGGCCTGGGTGTGAGTGAGTGTGTGAGTGTGTGAGTGTGAGTGTGAGTGTGTGTGTGTGTGTGTGTGTGTTTGTGTGTGTGTGGGTGTGTGGGTGTGTGGGTGCGTGGGTGTGTGGGTGTGTGGGTGTGTGGGTGTGTGGGGGTGTGGGGGTGTGGGGGTGTGGGGGTGTGGGTGTGTGTGTGTGTGTATGTGTTTGCGCGTGCGTACGCGTGTGAGCGTGCAAGCGCGGGTGCGGGTGGGTGTGGGTTTCTGAGAGAGAGCGTGTGCATTTGTTTATGTGTTTGTGTACCGTTTGTGCTCCAATGTATGGCGTATTCGATGATTTGTTTGCAAACATACGTGGGGACATAGTGAGTGTTTACGAACTACTGTAAATGCACCTGTCTTAACGACTAAGACTAAGACTGTGTCTCTGCGTGTGTGCGTGTGTTGGCAGTTGTTTGCCGGTTTGCTTAGACGTGCCGTCACAGGATTTCATCCTGGTGCACGGCTGGGCCAAAGCGGGAAGTGACGGTGGCCGACTCCTTGCCACCTTCCGCGGTACACTCCGCTTTGCAGGACCTGCAGTCATCCCCAGCCACAAAAGCCGCAAGAATCAGCTTGCCAGGCTCTGATCTACAGTTGAACGACGAGTCATCGCCTGTGAAAGCTATTCCTGTTGGACAGCTTCCCTTGTTCTCTTTACAATGGATTGGAGGTGAGCCTGACCATCTTGGAGCCGTGATTGCGTTGCAGGCATCCGGGACCGATGTGATGCCGAACTTCCTGTCCTTGGCATTCAGCCGACGAGGTCATCACTTGACGCGACGGGTGCTTCTTCCTCGCGTTTCTGCTCAAAGCAGCCGAGCTGCAACAACACCCCGTTGCCTCACCGCGTGACCGAAAGGCGATTCAAACACCATTCAGAGCACGAGGAAAAGGCTCTTTGCTGGTGGAATCTGAACCCCGACCCCGAAGGCACCGAGCTCAAGGCAGTCACACCTACACATGCTTTTGCAAGCCTCCATGCAGCCACGAAACTGAACCATGGCTCCCTACTCGCAAGGCGCCGAAGCCAAGAAGCCAGCACCCAAGTAGGAATGCACCGTTTTCGAGCTCAGGGCGGCGTTCTTGGTGCTTCATGCTTCAGGCTTGAGAAGCTTTTTTCTGGTCGCCACAGAGCCCTCGTCTGCCTCGAGCCTCAGGTAAGCTGTTGCAGATCCGCTTCGAGGAGACCAAAGCCCCTCCAACTTCGTCTCGCCGGCCACAGAATTGAGAGCTAGTGTGTAGGGTTTAGGGTTGAGGTCAAAGCAAACGACGGGTTACATTGCAGGCGAACTCGGATTGCAGATGGAGTCAAGGAGTTGGGCTGAACTTGCACGATGTGGAGTTGCACCTTTGCATCACATAAAAGCTGTCATGTCGTTCGCACCCTTCTCCACATTCTGAAAGAGATGTGGCGATGTTAATGAAGATGCTGGTTGTGTCTAAGATGGAAACAGCACTAGCAGGAAAAGAGCTTGCGTCGCTCATGCTGCTGGTGATGATTGTGACAGGGATGTTGGTGATGATGTTGAAGATGGGTCGTGTCGGTAAGATTGATGTTGCTGGAATTGCAGTTGCGACAGCACACTGAGTCTGCGTGTACTTTGTTTCATGCTACATCGTCACGATGACCATGTTCTTCAGGTTCAGTCAGACAGTGCACAAGGAGGTACACATGCAAAGCCCAGTCGATCGTACGCGCACAGATACACATGCCCTCACGCACGCAGGTATGCACGCACGGAAACACGTGCGCACAGGAAGAGACAACACGCACCCGCAGTTTTTGCTTCGCGACGCCTTCAACAGTGGGGTGCACGTCGACGCCGCTCTTGCTGTTCTCACGTCTTCCTCATAAGTAGGCGGCATGTTTATGCACAGGCCTGTACAGTACTCCAGTGAATCTTTGCATCTACTAGCTGTGTCTAGCTGCTTTCTAGGGACGTTGAATGTGCAAGTTCACGTGGTCGTGGTGACTGTGGACGGGGTAAGCCTTGCGACTTGACCCGAGGCCCAGGAGATCCCAGGAGTGTTTCGACTCGAAGACTGTATGCTCACAAAGAGACATACGGATACGTGCGCATGCCAACGTGCACATCGGTGTGTGCAACCACTTAAGTTTACAGGTTTGCAGGCTATGCAGGCCACACATGTACGAGTGCATTGAGTCACGCATGTCCGTACATTTGAGACGTAATAGGTTGTTGCACGGTACCGTGTTGTTGAGTGTATAGGTTAGGATTTTACTAAACTGATTATGAGACGACTCGTAATGCAACCCTACTTCACTCGTATATCTAGTCATGCTGGTACATTGGTGCATCGTGCGAGAGGGTCTATTCGCAAGAAGCCTTTGTCGGCAACCCATGTTGGTGATAAGATCGGCAGAGATGGCAGCAGAGACAGACGGCCAGGTTCGACGTCAAGCGGCCGCCCCCTATCGGGGTGGTCAAGCATCCGAACGGGGTGCGCACACGCCAGGCGCCAGGGCAGCTCTATAAGGCCTAAACTCTAATCCTGTAGCCGTAGAACAACATACCCTGGTCACCTTTAGTTCTTTGCTTCCTGCGGTCCCTGCGCTGCAGGGGTACCACATCGAAGTGAAAGGCACCAACGAGGCGCGGCCTCGATGAACCCTGGGTGCCAGGGCCCCGCCCGGCTCAGGGCTGCAATCCTCCGATCCCGTAGGGCGCAAGAAGCTCAGAAGCTGCAGAAGCCCGCGCCTCCAAGCCCCAAAGCTGCCCAAAACCGTCGAAGAAGTTCGGGGCTTGGGTTCCGCGATTGAGCAAAACCGCTCAATGCCAGGTCATCATTGCACTACTTCATCCCAGCACTGTCGTGATCAAGGCGCGTCGTTGCAGTACATAGACAATGTGGCCTCCTTTGCGGCAGATTCCGCTAAAGACTTGAAAGAAAGTATGCTTGAGGTTTGTTTGGAAGCGTAGCCAAAACGTTCGGACATGTAGGAGGCAGGCTCCGCCATATAACGGAAGAGAAGATGATCAGACAAGGCCTTGGGATACTCCAGTCGCAAAATGCATGCAAACACGTGTGGGCTCGAAGCCGGTCGGATTTTTGAGATGCTGAAGGATTTTGTTTATCGGTTCGCCTGGTATGATACAGGTACAGGTCATACTTCAAGACCTGCGAAAGTACCAGCAAGGGCCGGGTTTTCCGTGGTCACAGGCTGGGTTTGGGTGACCTGCAGTGTCACAACTTCTCGGACCCAAGGCTTTGGGCCTTGAGGGTGTTTCAGGATTTCGGGCTTTAGGCTGTTACCTGTGGGATGTCAGAAATGCCAGGCCCTATGTGTGCTTCTCAAGTCCCGATTAAGTCCTTGAGCTCCCAAACTCGATTAGGAGAGAAATTCCGCATCCCGGACTTTGGCAGGGACAGCTATCATGCTTCCTCAAGTCTCAAGCGAAATGGGAGGCAAAGTGGGCAGCGTGCCGCAACATTCCTTGGGGTTGAGTGATTTGGAACTTTATGGCGTGGGTTCAGGGTCTAGAATCGGGTTTAAGGTTTCGAGGCTTGGTATTCTATGCTGGAAACGCAGTAGAGTTCATACGACTGGAGCTTGATGCATGTCGCACACAAAGATAGGCATGTTTCGTTCTTTTTTGTGCGTGTGCGTAGGTGTGTCTGGTTGAAATTTCGTACCTGCTTCATTGACATCCTAGTTTATTTTCGTATGACTACTCACATGGTAGTAGGGAGTTTGGGAACATGAGCCATGAGCGTCGTTGGAACCCCCAACGGTAGTGTAGTACTTGCATCCGCGAGCGAGTCGGCCAGCGTGTGCGACTATATGGCTCTGGGAGTTTCGCTTTTCAGAACCGCTGGCTCATGCCCACCAAGGCCAATTGCTACTACACTGGTATCAGGTTCCTAATGCTGTGCATGGTTTCCTCTGTTTCTGGTGCACAACTGTAATTTCCAGGATTCGGCTGAAGGCTTCGAAGTCTCTGCGAGAATCAAGTTTTTGTCTCGCCACGAGTCAGACGCCTAAACCACAAGGGCTCCGCATCCGGAACCTGCAAAGGGGGAGAGGGTTACTAGCAGCATAGGATTCAGGGGTTCCGGATTTTCTGAGACTCGTGTCAGAACTTGACATCTTGAGTCTTGAACCGAAATTGATGTCGTAGCTGTGTTCCCAGAGTCCCCAAATCCCATATGTACCTTCTCTGTGCCGCAGTCTATAAGCCACGCTGTCTGGCAGATGTCCTTCGATGAGTCGCGGCCCTGGATGTTTACAGCTTTTGCAACGCGACCAGAGTCAGTCAGATTGGTTTCAGTGGCGAGGGCTTGATGTTGTGGCACTTGCCCTGAGTCCAAATGGAGCCCTAATGACCCCAAGCCGTGCTATATTCATTCTTCCCATAGAACAGGCCGTCCACCGAAGCGACGAGGCCGACAGGGTCCGTGCATGTATTTGCCATACTACCTCGACCAATTCAATTCCGGCTTCACGGCTCGGTGCTTAAGAGTTTTTGGCAATTCGATCGCGGTCTCGATGGTGACTGAATCGTTTAAGACTTAAGGTTGTCTAAATCCGAGCACCGTTTACCCCTCCAAAACGTGCACGCTGAACCCAAAACAACACGCTCAGGCCGTGAACCCGAAAAGCCTGAAGCATCAGTCCAGCACTGTGGGGTGGACGCCCCATTGAACCTGAGCCACTTTATGCATGTTGTAGGGTAGGAGGTGTATAGTATTATAGGTCTTGTGCATGTAGGGTGCAGCGTTACAATAAATCACGATCCATTGCAAGCGGTGTCCGGACATGGCCCTTGGATGGCTCAAGAACCAGCCTGTTCAACGGAGAGCCAACCATGCCTGAACCCTAAACCCCGAAACTCTCTGCAGCCTGCAGAACAAGGGAACTCGGCGACGAGGTAGGGCAGCGATTGGTCACAAAGCTGATCCTTGGAACCTCACCCTAGCCCAAACCATGTCTCAAGCACAATTCTCTTGAGCACCCTATGCCTAACAGCGACACCCCCCATGTACCGCACAAGCTTGATTTGGGACATGGTTTCCTAAAGCCATGGGTCTGGCAGACTCCCAGAGAAGTGCCCGACAGCCCACGCTGTCGGGGGACACCCGGAGAGGCGGCTTAAGTACTTACGTCTGAAACCTTCAAACAGTTGAAGCTTCAGGTGGCTTGTGCTACCAGGGTACCGTTAAGGTAGACGACGTTTGCGTCGTTTTCGGCGCCCTTCAAGGCCCAAATCTTCTTTGAAGTATCGGTCGCCCGTCGGGTCTATGACTTGGGAAGTACTGTGTTCCGGCTTCCTGTCTTGTCTTGGGGGGGTGGACGTCCATCAAGCTAAGGGGTCTCTTTCCAAAGAGCTTCGCACTCGGTTGATTTCCATACTGCCGGTGTCTAAAGAAACAGATGAGATGAGAGCCCTTCCTAGCTCTGAAAGGGTTCTTAGCTTTGAGCCAATTCGGCCCGCAGGCCTCTTCCAGCTCTGCAGTCCTTGCGGCCCCTCTGTGGAGGAAGCTGAGGTGGGCCACGCTACGTCCCCAAAGCAAGGACTGACACCCACAAGTGCAGTTCATATTTGCGCTCGACGTCCTTACCACATGCCGAACAAAATATCTGCATCAACATGCACTTTGCTGACTCCTCCTTGTAGGCCTTACCATCTTGCAGCCTGAGTCAGCGTTAGCGATTATGGCACTCGCAAACAGTAAGCCATTGAAGGCCCGGGGGCCCACCCCTGTGACACTGGCTGCTCAAGTCTTGGCCAGGTGGATCCAACCCCGAGACGCCGAGATGTTTGCCCTGCGGCGAGTGAAGCCGACAAGCACCTGGTTGGAATCGTTGTGAATCATTTCAGGGCCCAGGCTAAGAGCTATCCAAGCATGTTTGATAGAAAGACAAACCTTGTGCTTGATTGATGTGTAGGGGTGCGAGAACTATAGTTCAGGGCAGTTTCTGAGCTCATTGCATTCAACTGGTGGTCCGTCCCTTTGAGTATCTCGAGCCTGAGAGGACGGTACGGTGTAAGATTGAACATGGGGCTCTCAAGGATTATCCGTGATTCTTGCAGCCGGCTTCTGATATTTGCTCGAGGCATGGAGGCTTAGATCGTGGCACGAAGCCTTGGACTTTCATGCCTTGGAGTGCAACAAACTGCTTGATGATGGGCTTGGCGTGCATGTTCGATTCACATCAAATTGATTGAGGGGTTCTGGTGCCTGATATGGGCTTCGAGTCTGCTCTTTTAAGATTTGGTATTGGCTCCTCAATCCTTGAAGCTTGACTCTGCGAAGTTCAACAACATAACTACCCGTCACTATGTCTGCAGCTCTGATAGCATGTGTACTTTTGGAGCCTGGCTTGGAGAAACCCGCCTTGGAACCCCAAAGCCGCAAGCCATGCCCAAGCGCACAGATCGCAGACCTCTCGCAGGCCAGAGAGCCCTATATATCCCACTCATACTTGCGTATTAGGATCTTACAGAGACCGTACACGTCTAATCAAGCCCAATCATTCGTTAGGAGGAGTCGGAAGATTGGGGAACATCCCTTCAGGCTCGTGGCCTCCTTCTGTGACGCGGTGCCCAAGCTCCGTGTGCTGCCTACGGAGGAGGAGCTGGCGACCTTCTGGGCTCCCCGGAGACGGGCTTTCCTGAGCGGTTTAAGGGTGGAGAAGGATTGGTATGATTCAAACTGTCTAGGAATCTTTTTAGGTGTTCTAGACAACCAAGGCTGGTGGAGATCGCTTGGACCAGGCCCGCCTACGTGCGCAAGATGTGCCTGAAGCCATGAACCCCAACATAATCCCGTCGCTCTCCACCAAAGACCTTCGAATAGCTTGGGGTTCAGAGCGGTCAAGTGTTGAAGGATCCGTGGTCAAGAGTATGTATCCAAGTCGTGTCAAATTGTGTTGATGGCGGTCTCGGTGTGTTTTGCACGGAAGATCCACGTGCGGAAACCACCAAACCAGAAAGCACGAAGAGACCCGAAAGGGCAGAAACTCATCTAGATCCCACGCGAAACTCCTTGAAGGCGCAGCTTTGCCTTGCGATTCGCCAGCACCTGACGCGAAGTGCCGAGGGTCCATGGCAGCTCCAGGCGCTTGGGGTTAAAGCTTTACGTTCAGGGTCACCTTGTACCGTCAACGTGCCGCCTCCAGACACACCTGCCGGACGGAGTGCAGATCTGGTCAGTCAACTGCTTTCCGAAATCGGGCGCTATAGAAGTGAGGGCAATCCAGTGTGTTCTACACGTTGGCGTATTGGTGTGTTGCGGACATAGTCGCATTGCTACTGTAGTGTTGCTTCGAGGCTTGTCGAAGGGACGGGTGTGTTGCACGAAGGCTTTGGTCGGGGTGAGTTCGTGAGTCCCAACGGTCCGCAAATGTTTTCATTCCTACTATTACTATTATTATGCTATTATTATTGTTACTATTGTTATTACTATTACTATTAATATTCTTATTATTAAGCTTTAGGATCTGGAATCTTGGCCCTTCGGAGCGATTCGAGGCACTGAACCGTAAACTTTTAAAATCTTGAACATCCGAGGCACGCATGCTCCGGGTGCTCATCTCGGCTTTCTGCAGACAACCCCGTGGCAGGTGCACAGCATAAGGTTGTTCGTTCCGAGTTTCTCGTCGAAAGAGGCATGGTGACAGCTACAGCAATGCTAGTAGAGGTCGATCAGCACAAACTGAGGACACTGCCAAACCACAAAAACAACACAACATTGCTAGCCCTCCTCATCATCACCGTCATGACCGCCCTCACCATTAACCATTGGCATCATCACCACGGTCACCACCGCCGTCATCAGCACTGTTTAGAGATGTAGTTGCACCAGTTGAAGTAGGAGCAGCAGCAGCTGCAGGAGGAGGCTACGACTATCGTCGTCGTAGCACAAGTACTTGTACGGTAGTTCCAGTGTAGTAGTGAAAGTAACAGTACCGGTAGGCATGTGAGGTTTTCTGCGATCCGGAACTGCCGTGATTCCAGAGCACGATTCTGCCCTTGACGAAACGTCCGGGAAACTCGCCCACAAGGACAGCACAGGGTGCCATCACCACACCTTGAAGCATGAGTTTCAGCCCTAAATTGACACAAAGCAACAAGCCCAGAACCCCTGCATGCAAAGCACTGCTCCTGCAGCACCAGGGCCCTCGCGACCTCGGCGCTGGCCGGAAGCGGCGAAGGCCTCGTCAGGCAGCTGGCCGCGGCGGAGGCAGAGGAGCTTTCTGTAGGGAGTTAAAGAAATTAGGGGTCCCCTGTGCTGGAGATCCTATACCTCTGAGGGTTCTATGTCATAAGCCGCTCAACATGTTCTGACACTGGCATGCGGAGTTTGCTCGCAGGCTTGCAGCATTCTGGAGATGCTATGTAAACTTTGATTTATACCAGTTCGCAATGGAGAACACAGCCAGTTTCATACGGGCCAAGGCAGCAATCCTGCACGCCGGGCCACTTCGCATGGAACTTGCACAAAACCTTGGTAGTACCCAAGAAGCGTGCAATGCGGTTTGCTGCATCTGCTTTGTTTGCTCCCTCTTCAGGGCTTCCTGTCCCAGCTGCAGTTGGTGCAAGGTTTTTGGGTTTGTGTTTGTAGGCAGTCTTTCTTCCCAGGTCCGAACATCATTTTGGCATCATGTTTCTTGGGATATTTGTTTGGACCAAGAGCCGTTCCCAGAAGACCTTGCTACAAGTAAAGTAAAGCATCTGGAAACCGCAAAGCCGCAACAGGGACCGGAGGTTAGGCGAGCACGGTTGAATGAAAGCTTCCTGGCCCATTGTCCAAGAATTCTGAAAGCATGGTGAATACCATGACAATGTCGTGATCTGCTACGACAGTGGTTTGTATCGAACACCGTTGCTGTTGCTGCTACCAATACTCTGCCTGCTGCTGCTGCTGCTGCTGCTGCTGCTGCTACAACAGCAACTACTTCAACCACCGCTACCACTCCTACTACTACTACCTCACTACAACTACAGTACCACTATCACTACAGCAACCACTATCACCACCATCACCACGACGACACCAACAACAGCAGTAACAGTAACAGCAGCAGCAGCGACGACGACGACGACTACTACTACTCCTCCTGCTACTACTGCTACTACTACTACTACGACTACCACTACTACTGCTACTGCTACTACTACGACAACTACTACTACTACTACTACTACTACTATTACTTTTCCTACTGTTGCTACTACTACTACTACTACTACTACTACTACTACTACCAGGACTACTACTACTACTACTACTACTACTACTACTACTACTACTACTACTACTACTACTACTACTACTTCTGCTACTACTAGTCTACCAGTACTAGTACTCGTAGTCGTGCTCGTACTCGTACTGGTGCTTGTGCTCGTGCTCGTAGTACTAGTACTAGGACTAGTACTAGTACGAGTACTACATCAACTACGACTACTACTACTACTACTGCTACTACTGCTGCTACTGCTACTGCTACTGCTACTGCTACTGCTACTGCTACTGCTACTGCTATTGCTACTACTACCACCACTACTACTATTCGGACTACCACTACCACTACTACCACTACCACTGCTACTACCAGCACCACTACTCCTACTACTACTACTACTACTACTACTACTACTACTACTACTACTCCTACTCCTACGCCTACGCCTACTCTTACTCCTACTCCTACTACTACTACTACTACTACTACTACTACTACTACTACTACTACTACTACTACTACTACTACTACTACTACTACTATAACTAATACTACCACTACCACTACCATTGCCACTACTACTACTACTACTACTACCACTACTACTACTACTACTACTACTTCTACTACTACTACTACTACTACTACTACTACTACTACTACTACTACTACTACTACTACCTACTAACTAACTAACTAACTAGCTAACTAACTAACTAACTAACTAACTAACTACCTTTTTAACTAACTAACTAACTAATAATTATGCTATTACTACTACTGCTGCTATAACTACTACCACCACTACCACTACCACTACCACTACCACTACTGCTACTGCTACTACTACTACTACTACTACTACTACTACTACTACTACGACTACTACTACTGCTACTACTACCACTACTAGTAGTAGTAGTAGTAGTAGTAGTAGTACTACTACTACTACTACTACTACTACTACTACTACTACTACTACTTCTGCAGCTATTGTTACTTGGGCCACCTCGTGTTTTACACGCTGGTAGCATTTTGGTAACTCGTTTTGGAAGCGCACCACAGCATTTGTGATGGTGCATCTGCGAATCGTTGACACCTGCACCAAGCTCCAATAAACTTCCGGGAATTTGGGCGTCCTGGCTTCGCTACGTACAAGAGGAACTCCGATACGTTGTCATAACACCTTCAGAGTCTTTAGCGTTCCAGCTTAGGGCGCGTCGTTCCACCCGGGTTCGGTTCTGTGCCAATCCCGCATTGCGCAGTATCGCACAGTATCTCTAGCATGTGCAGTTGATCTCGAAGTCCTAGTTTCCCATAACCATAAGTCCAAACTCTAATCTTGGACTCTGAACCGACTCTGAACCTATAGACTTCGGACCCGAAGCCCTGAAACAGGTCCCAGAGGTTCGGGAGGAAGCTGCGCGTCTGGTGCAACTGCTGGAGCTGTCGAGGCTCCTTTCTCCGAGTTAAAACATTGGCCCTCTTCTGGTTGGCTTCCTTGCACAAGGGAACTTACCATACTGGGTCTATACCTAGCGGGTGGTGCCCTTGCACAAAACGGTGACTTCCGTCTACAGGGATTGCTATACGTTGTGGTCCACGTTGATGGTCAAATCCTTTTTTCGAGAAGGCAGGCAGACTGCCCATTTTGCACCAAAGGCATGTTCACACCTGAACCAAATTCATGCATCCGAGCCCTGACAGAAAATGGTGTTCCAACCACCCTAGACCCGGAGCATATCGGAGAATGGCAACCCACCACGGAGTGTCTCAACGAATCCATACAGACCTCAGGCTTTCGAAACAAGCCCGAAAACCACGGCCACCCACCGTGTACTTAATGATTGGACAAGGGCTCCTTCTCAATTACCTAGATGGATGCTTGTCTCACAGCAACGATTCGGAATGGGAAAACCCTCAGAACAGAACCCAGCCTCACGCTACTTTTATGCAGATCACTGCCGACGGGCGAGTCCCTGATGGATGTCGCGAAGCGAGGCATAGTAGGATCTTGCCTTGACTACGGGGTTGCTTCTTACTGCAGTCTACAGGCCTTGCAGAGGTTTGCCGGTTCTGGAATCTTGCCGCTACGGCTTGGTGCAAATGCAGGAGTGGATGTCTGCAGCCGTCCCTGTCCGTCTGCATGCCGCTGCCTACCTGTCTACCTGGAGCAATCCGGCACGGAAGTCTCCGAGTCCAGACTCCATCCTAAATCCCAAAATTTCCACCGGAAAGCCCCCGACCCCAAATGCCTTCGAACTTCGAAGAGTGGCGCCCGAAGCTCTGTTCAGGAGGTCATAAACGCACAAACCCCAGAAGGCAAGAGCCAGCAGCACACTGACATACAGCCTTGAAGCCCAAGAGGTCTGAACAGCCGAAGCCCGAACCCCTGAGGCTTGAAAGCCCAAAGCCCACAGATCCATCCTCAGATAAGAGTCAGTGTTCCTTTATACTCCCGCCCTACAGATAACGGACTACGGATACAGTAGCAGGCTTCGCGAGTTGCTTTTGTCGGGCTTTTGGGTCGCATCAAAATGAAGTTTTGGTGCCACCGAAATTAAACTGCCATGGCCCGCCTTGAAGGGTCGGTGATTCCTCTGAGTTAACAGCTCAGTATTTCGGATGAGAAATCTGCGCTCGGCTGCGGAAGCTAAAAGAGCCGGCTAGATCGCAATCCTGAAAGCAACCCGCTCTTTAAATCCGTGCCGGGGTCTCTACAGTAGTTGAGACAGCCGTCCTGCGCCTCATGCTAAGCCGCGAATCAGAGCTGGGCTTCGAAAGGCGGGCTGCTGTCCTTCACGGCCGCAGCACCCTCAACCGTTCCTCGGAGGAATGCCGCAGAGGATGCCAGGGCGCCGGAGAGGCAGCTCAGCATCGTTTGATGACTTTTTCAGTTCGGGGTCTTGTGGTGTTAGATCTGAGGTTGGGAGGTCTCGGGTGGAAGGTGACGGCTTGCGGGGTACTTGTACGTGTGTGCTGTGTTCAGGAACATAATCACAAGGTTTTTGCTTGAACTCATCTGGTGCTTGTACCGTTGCATCTGCTTCATGAATGGTGTAAGGCTTGCGGTTCTGGTGCAGCCAGGTGAAAGCCCGAGTAAGAACAGCTGTTGACCGCCGCTTGTCTCCATAAACTCCAAACCCTCTGCATCCTGTCGTGTCGATGTTGAACTGAAGGCTTCGGCTCTTACGCCCTGAGACCTGACTTTCCAAAGAAGGGAAGGCCCTGGACCTTGAACCTGAATCTTCAGACCGTTAAGTTCCGAGCCGGGAGACAGCCCCAGAGCTCGGATCTTTAAACTGTTGTCCAGGCCAGAAGCCACTGTGGATCTGCTGGACCTCTCGCCACTGTCCTGATTTATTCGCGGATTTTAGCGGAAAGAGTTTCAGGTAGAGGGTTTACAGGCCTTCAGGTTCAGGGCGGACATCGTCGCTCGTGGTTACGCTTAAGCATCAACCCCGAATCCCGATGAACCTGGGGTCAATAGAGGCTCAACATCCGAAGAAGAGCTGCCCATGGCAACCGCAGCAAAATGCTCCAGATGGTTGTTTCTTACAGTGAAGGTTCCGTGCAAGGGGTCTTCACATTCCACCATTCTACGTCAGATCATGTGTTAGGTTCCCTTACCTTTGCCATGCAGTGAGCCTACACCTGTCACTGTTCAGCTTCCGACCAAAGCGTGGTGTCCGACGTTAGTCTGGCCCAAAACAGTATTCCTGAATGCTATATCGTTCCCCACAGTTGTTTTTTCGGGTTTGTGTATGTACCCGTGCCTACATGCAATTAGTTTGGACTGAGAACCCTTACTCAAAGAATTCAGCATTCCTCTAACATAGTTTATTTCTATCAGTTCCGGTTGAGGTTTCCAGGTTCCAGATCTGCTTCGCGGCTCGACAGACACTCATGCTTTGTGCTCTGCGTCCCAAGCGTGTGGCGCAAATTTTCTGTCGTGGTGCTTGGTATCTCCTTTTAGCGTCTTTTTTCGGTTCCAAAAAAACCTCTGTCAGCTTGTTGTCAGGCTGTAGAGTTGGGGTGCTCAGGGCTTAGAAGAGTCCAGGATCTGGACTTAATGCCTTCGCACTGCAATTTCTGAGTCAAGCAGCAAGTCTTGCAGATGTTCCCCGGTCAGCTAAGGCACAAGTTTATGGTTCAGGGTCGCGCTTGATTCCGACAATCTCCCCGTGAGCAAGGTTGACAGCCTTGTTGCTGTGAGCAGATGTGAGCAGGTTAGAGATCATCAGTCAGCGATGCGCTTTGGACCTGCCCACGTTCGTCGCTGCACAAGCTTAGGCCAACGGCTATGAGGAGTACGGCGATTTCCGAGGTGACAGTTTGTGCTGACATTGTGCGGTTCTAGATTTGCCTTGGATTTAGATGTTGTTCGGTCTGCCCTGCGTTTACGACCAAATCCACACCGATTACGGTTTCGTTTTTTGAGATGATGCAAAGAAGTGTACACGAGAACTCTTGTTCAATCTTCGGCCACATCTGCAGGCACTGGCTGCAGAATGGGTGTCATTGCGTGCTGGACCTCGCGTGGCATGGTAGGGCTTTCGCTTCGAATCCATGACCGCAATCGGTCCCTGATGCAAGCCGCAGAACCCGAGTACTGATGTCCAGCAAGTCCTCCAGTGCAGGCTCCAGACGTCGATCGCCAGCGCCATAGCAGCATCGACGCCGCCACAGCGTCGGCAGGTCGAGTGCTTCAGCATTTGTGTACCAAAATATTCCAGCCAGTCATGGTGCATTTGCTTAGCAAGTGCTTGCATTCACATTGCATTAAGCTCGGGGCCTCTGGTGAAACAGCTACAACAAGCTTCCGAGTGCTTCTATTCGTTGATTGAAACTTTTTGTTTAGCGATTCGTGTCTTGGCGTGACTGCAGCAGCAAATCTGCGAGGCAGTGATGTTGCCATGTCCCAGCTCAAGGCGCGCCACGGGGGCCAACCTAGCACCTAAACCTTGAGTACTTCGATGGAGGCTTCGAGAACAGCGTTGTTGGCAATCAAGGAGTGTGTCGCTGTGCGCAAGGGATCCTCGAGTACCAGCGTAGTAGCGGCAGCACAGTAGCAGCAGCAGTGGCAGTGACGATGCAGGAGCAGTCGCAGAACAGGGGCGGTGCGGCAGCGGTAGCCGTAGCAGTAACAGTAGCAGCAGTATTACCAGTAGTAGTCGTCGTCGTGGTGGTAGTAGTAGTAGTAGTAGTTGTAGTAGTAGTGATTGTTATTACTGTTAGGTTTGACTGTTAGTAGTCGTAGTCGTGGGCGTGGTCGTGGTCGTCGTCGTAGTACTAGGAGTAGTTGTAGTAGTCGTAGTAGTAGTAGTAGTAGTAGTAGTAGTAGCAGGAGGAGTAGTAGTAGCAGCACCTCCAGCCGCAGCCGCAGTGGCAGTGGCAGTAGCAGTAGCAGGAGTAGTAGTGGTAGTAGACGTAGTGGCAGTAGTAGTGGTAGTAGTAGCAGTAGTAGCAGTAGTAGTAGCAGTAGTAGTACTCGTATTCGTAGTTGCCGGGGTAGGGGTGGGGGTCGGGGTCGGGGTGGGGTCGGGGTTGAGGTCGGGGGAGCAAGCGAAGGGGTAGTGGTAGCAGTAGCAGTAGTAGAAGTAGCAGCAGGAGTGGTAATTAATAGTAGTAAGTAGCAGTAGCAGCAGCAGCAGCAGTAGCAGAAGTAGCAACAGTAGCAGGAGCAGTAGTAGTAGTGGTACTGAGTCGTACTAGTACTAGTACGAGCATTAGTTCCCGGGGGCCCATGCGTTTAACCCGTGTTTCTGCCCCGAATCTCAGGATCTTATCTTCACAGCTGCCCCTGAGTGTTACCACCTTGGAGATCCGGGTGCGGAGTGCGGCAACCAGGAGCCTGCGGGTCTGTTTCAGGGCTTGGCCTTATGATTCCAGGATTCGAGCTTTAAGGTTTACACGCATAGTTTCACTACAGCGTGGAACATTAGGCTGAGGGGATGCAGGGTATTTGTTCGAATTTGGAGCATGAAGCTCTTAATGGATCAGGGATGTTGGTTCCATTGCGGCGGCCCTCACATCAGTTTCACGAGTTGAAGAGCCCCGTGTGAACTCCGTCGAAAGTGCTATTCCATCCACTGGAACGTTTCGGAATACGTCGCACGGAGACCGACCTTTATATACACCCTGAAAACTTGTTCAGGTTCCTCTTTCCGGCCACAACGTCATTAACTCCGAAGCCTGCAACAACAAAGCCCGAAAACTTAGCTAACGAAGCGAAGCACGGCGATTCATGTCAGGAGCTCGAGCAGATGTACAGCTTTGTTCTGCGCCCGAAGGTTGTGATCCCGTACGTCCCGCCAAGGGAAGCGAAGGTGCTTTGGGCATGTTTGGGATTTGGGTGGCTGGCACGAGTGAAGGTTTTAGCAGGCATGAAGCTTTTTAGCCACAAGGAGCCCAAGCTTCACTAAGGCTTCCCCATATGTTTACAAACAAATAGATTCTTTTGTTTTACAATACATGCATCACAGATATGTGTATGTAAGGCTGACTTACCTGTTGGCCTGCCTGACAGTTCGTGCCGTTGGCATCTGGAGCCATCGCTCACCAAGGTGGCTACCAAGTCCAGCGATCCTTTTGAGTTCGTGTCTGATCACGTTCGGCAGATGACGGTGGCCTGACACCCCTCAATTTACCGTTTTTTCTGAAGCTTTGGAGTCGTTGTATGGTATGAGCCGAGCTCGTTCCGTGACCGCCTCTGCCTGCAACTCTGGATGTGTTTGCAGCTGCATCCAACGTGGGCGCAGTTGCCCATTGCGGTTTGTCTTGGACCGCCTACGTGCATTTAGCCTTTGCCTTACGAGCAGAGGCAGAAGGGAGCTGAATAGAATTCAGGTAGCTGAGTCCCAAGCCACAGGTGAGGTTTCTGGGTGTTGTAGTTAGAACCTGAAGGCCCCGAATGGGACGCCTGACCCAAGTTGAGGCTTTCGCATTTCGGTCGTCTCGGTTGGTTGTCAAGTTCCCTTCGTCACAAAAGAGGAAGCCCCATGAGCTGGCAACGCGCCGCCGCGGGGAGACGGCTTTAGAGTCCACCAGGCCAACGGTTCCTTTACTGCTGCAACTCTGCAAGTTGCAGGAACAGAACTGGTATCGTCTTGAGAAACTCGAACATGCATTGATGTCGAGACTCAGGTTAGTATTATGATTTTAAAATTCAACTGTCTGTACATCACATAGGATTTCCAGTGCACTATCGGGGAGGAAAGCAGTGGCACGAGCATGACAGTTGCTGGTGCTGGTACTCTTTTGGAGATGGAACACAAGCAGTCGTACCTGATCCAGCCAAGACAGCAGTCGTGTCTAGAGGGAAGTACCTGCATTGTTCATGCCAGTACTGCTTCATATCAGCCATCATCACAAAGACAAACCCGAGAATAGCACTGACAGTGCTGCCTGTACCATCAAGAGCATTGGCTCGACATAGAGCAAGCCCTGTGCGTTCCCATCATTGCTAGATCTTGCTACACAATCAGAGTGTTGAGTGCTATGCTAACGTTCTGCGTGTGTGTGTGTGTGTGTGTGTGCGTGTGCGTTTGTGTGTGTGTGTGTGTGTGGGTGTGTGTCTGTGTTCTTGCGGCCGCTGCTGCTGGTGGGTGGTGGTGGTGGTGGTGGTGGTGGTGGTGGTGGTGGTGGTGGTGGTGGTGGTGGTGGTGGTGGTGGTGGTGGTGGTGGTGGTGGTGGTGGTGGTGCGGTTGTTGATGCTGTTATATGCTGTTGAATGTTGTTGGCACAATGCTTGTGATTCTTATGTTCGTTTCGCTCGTGCTTGTGGTCATTGTTGTGGTTGTGGTCGCAGCCGCGGAAACTGTCAAACGATTACTATGACAGAGTCAAGCTTCTTCCATGCGGTCTCCCTGGTGCCTGCAGCTCATTTGTTAGGGGCCCTCGCAACGATTTTTCGAAGTGAACTGAGTGCACTTCGGGCTTGCCAAGTGCCATGCCGCGGGGCTCTAAAAGGTGGACAGCCGACCTCGGGTGCATGCCAACAGTTAGTCAGTTACTTAGTCAGTTCGTCTTCTTCTAGATTCCAGAACTTACGGACTGTTCTGGCAACTCCGTAAAGCTCAGGTGTCACACTACACGCTCGAATCCAGCCCGCTGTAAGACTGCAATAAACTAACACGGGATGCTTGCTAGAACTGGGCAGTTGACATGACAACAATCAATGACGAAATGAGGGAAGACTCCACTTCGTTTGAATCCTTGACTCAAAACTCTGCTTGATCACAACCGAAACATTCGGTTCTTTACCCAAGTTCCAACGCGAAAGGACCTCGTCAAACCTCCGAAGAAAGTCAATCGACCACTGTAGAGTCCTCTGAACCTCGTCACAAACACCCTAACCCAACACTCTAGCACAATTCGCCTATACACACATTTATGAGCCGATCTTCTGCTACGTAATCCGATCCCGATTCAATCGAACCTGTAAGATTCAAGAATCGACATGTATTTCCTCGTGGCAGCATTTACATGTTGAAGATATGGGTGTATTTTGTTCGATGCATTGTGTTCTGTATACACATGTACGTATAATATACACGTTACACACACACGTTATGTGAGTATATGTAAACCTCGGTATTATATGTGCATATATATATATATATATGTATTGTAGAACATATGCATATACGTGTGTGTATATGTGAACACTCCACTTGTTTGTGTGTCTTTTTTATTCTTGCCTGGTTGACTGCCTGAGCTTACACACGGGTGAGGTTGCTTTCCCACTTTGTTATACTTGTACTTTGCCACTCTCAGATTTGAAGTTAAGTTTGTCTGCACTTGCTTTTGTTGGGCAGTGCTCCCGTTGGAACCAGAAGTGATGTGCTTTCTTTTACGTAACAAGTGTCAGAGATTGCTAAATGACGCCGCAACTGACCAGCATTGGTTCGGCGCCGTAATCCAGATGGACTTGGCTGTGGGGATCGGATTCAGTGGTTTGGTGCTCTATTGCCTTACCTTTGCTGGCTTGGTACCTAACGTTCAGCATGCAAGCCTTTAATCAAGCCGTAGAGACCCACAACTCACCTCCCCTCAAAACATCTCAAAGCTCTGAGCGTATACACACACACGCACACGGACGAATATGTGGCCCCCCAAACCTGGTACCCCGTCCCAGAGCTGATCCAGGGACGTGCAAGAAGGTCCGGAGGCCGTTCGGAGGGCATCACATCAAGCTTTTCGGGGTTTGATGTCTTGCATGTACCCGCAGCAAGGCATTTCCGCCAGGTCAGTTCTGCACATGTCGTTGTAGTCCGTTGCTCCTGTGTTTGGTCACCTATGCCTGTGCCCAGACCACGTCAGGCTGAGATTGCTTGGCCCGCTACTTTTTTTCAAGCCATGATCCGACCCGACAATCTGCACAGGCACGGCACAAACGACAGACCCGAGCTCGGCACTCGGGCGATCTGATCTGGGAGTGGAGTGTAGGTGTAAGCGCCCTGGCCAGGAGGCCTGCCGACGACGACTCCTCCTCCTCCTCCTCCTACTTCTACTACTACTACGACTCCTGCTACTACTATTTCTACTACTGCTACTACTACTACTACTACTACTACTTCTACTACTACTGCTACTACTACTAGTACTACTAGCATTACGACTACGACTACTGCCACTACTACTTCTACTACCACTACTACCACTACCACTACCACTACCACTACCACTACCACTACTACTACTACTACTACTACTACTACTACTACTACTACTACTACTACTACTACTACTACTACTACTACTACTAGCATTACGACTACGACTACTTCTACTACTACTACTACTGCTGCTGCTGCTGCTGCAATCACTACTGCCGGCTGCTGTTACCACGACCACCACTACCACTACCACTACCACTACCACTACCACTACCACTACCACTACCACTACCACTACCACTACTACTACTACTACTACTACTACTACTACCACCACCACTCCTACTGCGGCCACCACTATCACTTCTGCCGACTACGGCTACGACTAATTACTACTACGACGACGACGAAAACTACTGCTAGTAGACCGAATAAGTCCTGGCGGGTCCTCTTTGAAGGCACCCGGCATGTCCTTGCACTTTGAATGAAACTGGGAGCAGCACACACCCGCTTCTGAAGGTACTCTGCATTCCACTTGGCCACACTCCTTGGAGGGTCCCTTGATTGTAAGAAATACCTTCACAATGTGTCTGAGGGTGCGGGTCACGAGCAACGACAGCATAGTGGTTAACTTAAACCCAAGACCATGACCGTTTCAGGGTTCGTCCTCAGGTCCTGCTGCAGGTCATGGTGCCGACCTTCGGGTAGGAACCTCGGCATTGCCCAGTTCGAGAGGGTTGGCCTGGAGTCTTGACCAAAGCCGCCCGTGCCGTTAAATCCGCAACCCCAAAATGGGGCGGTGGACGTTCAGAGCGTCGAACTGGAGAGCATTTCTGTCCAAGCATCCATATGGAACCCCGTTTACATCCGACTTCTGAGAATGGAATTTCCCTTTGAATATCTTCATCATGCTGATGCTCAGAACGGCAATATCCACGGCGATGTTCGAAATATAGGTGTGGCAACAGCAGCAGTACTGTGCACAGGTGAGTTTCAATCACCATCAAATGTTGTGCCGCATCGCGCTGCTGCGATCGCGACCACCAGCAGCAGATAGCAGCCACCATCGTCATGGTATTCCTCATCCTTCTCGTCAGGATCCCCGTTGTCACGAACATCATCGCCGGCACCGCCAGTAATTTTCAGTAAATGACAGCATCTTCCAGTGCATCATTTTGTTCCTGGCAGCGAGATTGGGCCATAGATCAGCATAGTTACCACGAGAGTGATTTGTCCGAGGACCATGATCGTGGTGACAAGGCTCCTGATTGTTGCAACATCTTATCATTAAGCCTTAAGCGAACTTGAGGCCCATTTGAAGCCCCGATGCTGGCCACATCCGTGATATGACGCCAGCATCGGTTATCATGCTGCTGGAGCTTGATGTTGACACAACGACCTCGGATCATGCCAAGTACCGCATCAAGTCACTAAGGCAATATGAGCTTCGCTTTCAGTGGGGTATGGTACCGCTGACGAAGCAAGACGTCGGTCTTTGCCGCACGCCGTGGCCCTACAGCGAGTTCGGGGCAAGATTCGGACACTAGCAAGAGGACGTAGGATTCTGTGCAGGGGGCTTGGAGTCTGCAGCGCCACGGTATGTGAGGCATTCACGAAGTTCGCCTTTGCCCCTGTCGTATCTTAGACTAGTGACTAATACAGGCACGAAGACGTGGAGAGATGGATAAGTTCATTTTGAAGATGGCGGGCTTGATGAACGACTCCTTGAAGCATGCGGCGGTTCGGAGGTCGAACCAATAACATCATGTTACTCTCGTTGGGTCCACTGCCCTTACCCCGTCCATCAGGGTACGATGTGGTGTGACGCAGCTCGACCATCCTCTGAGGATAACTCGTCCCTCCGGCCTCGATTGCCTGAGTTTCTTGTCATCCCGCAGCCTGTGCATTAGCCTCTGTGCACAATTAAATACGCGTATCGAATGCAGTCTCAGTGAGTTGCACTAAACTGCAAGTTATCTTCATATTATGTTGCGTCGCAGTGCAGCATAGTCCGA